AACTCTACTGTTTGTTCCTTGGTTTCTTTGGCCTGGCTGTCAGAGTGGCTAACACAACAGGAAAAGCGCTAGCCCTCCAAGGCAGAGAACTCTGGGACATGGAGGGCCCCTCCTTTGCTTGGTTGGATGTTCCTCTTCAGGATTGTTTTTTTTTTTTTTTCTTTAAAAAAAAAATGCTGACTGCTTCTCTGAAAATGCAGTTAAAACGGCAATCTCTCTGTGATCTGGCCTTAGCAATCACAATGATTGCTGGTAAGAGGAAATTCTCATGGGGCGGGGGGCACACCAGGTCCCTGATTCCTGTTAGCAACGCGTGCAGCTTCCCTCGCAGACCGCCAGCAGCAGTGCGAAGGGCGTTGAAAGCATCTGCTCCCTTGTGAGTGCTGGTGGGGCCGCGGCGTGCCAGACGTGCTTGACAGAGGCGCCCCTGTATCAGTGGCAGAGGGCTCCGAGTGTGCAGATGGCAACAGCAAGGGGATGGATGGCACCGTCCTCGCCTGCTCCCGCTGCCATTACAGAATGCCACGGACACGGTGGCTTCCGCAACAGGACGTTACTGGCTCACCTTCTGGAGACTGGAAATCCTAGACCAGCTGCCGGTCTCCTTGGCTTCTCTCTACCCCATATCCTGACTTGGCCCTTCCTATGTACGGCTGTGTTTCCAAACATCCTCCCCTGGAAAGGGAACAGTCATATTCTGAGGGTTAGACTTCAACACCTGCACTGGGGGCTGGGGAAGCAAACTGTTGAGACAATAATGGATGTGAAGCTTGAAAAAGTTAACAGCCATCCACCAGGTGTAGTTTTGTCTTCTAAGGCGAAAAGAAAGTGCTCTTCTCATCACTGCCTAAGTAACTTTTTATTTTCATATTCGATTTGGAAACTAACCTCTCTTCTTTCCACTTGTATCCCAACATGGACCTCCCCTACACGGCCGCAGGAGGAGGGCTGGAGCTGGCATGGCTCACAGTTAGGAAACGCCTCCTGATGTTGTGCTGTGCCACTGGGCCACTGGGTCTTACACGGATCCCCGCGTGGCAGCTGTGGCCTCTGTGACAGGGGAGTGGAATGTGCGTCAGTGAAGGCTCGGCCCCAGGTCTGGGCTTCACAAAGCTCCCTCCACCTGCTGAGCGCGTGGACAGACGGGTGCGGGGCAGGCTGCCTTGGGGATCCAGCAGCTCGCAGTCTCCCTCTTTAATGTCCAGTCATTGCTCTGTTGGGCAAATTGCTTTGTTTTTCTGGTTTTTTAAATTTTTATTTTGAATTTTGAGTTTTATGGTAAATTCCATAGAGTCTGGAGTGCCCCTTCTCCAATCCCCCCACGACTGATCTTCCCAAATTGCCTAATTTTTCTAAGCCAGAGTGACCCTCCTGGAACCTGCACCAAGTCTGACGAACAAGAGTAGAGGCGTCACACTGACACAGCTCAGAGGTTCAGCTGGCTTGCAGGATATCTCCGCTCCACACCACACACAGAAGAAGCTATGGAAAAGCACACATTGACCAGGATAATGACTGTGTCTTGCTCAATACTTGCATTTTTCAGTAGCATTAGAGAGAACTTTGTGACGTCAGCGCCTCTCCCGGGCCTGTTACATAACCTACATCTTTCTCCAGACTGTTCCTGTCTAGCATATCAGAACTGACTGCCTTTTTTTTTTTCCCCTGTGTATGTAGCATATTTCTTCTGTGCTTCTCTCTTGATTTCTATCCTTAGAAAACTCTGGAAAATGAAAATGACTTTGTTTACTTTCGGACCGTTTGTTACAGAAGCATAGACAAGTTTGGATACATCCATTAATAAGAACAGAGGTTGAAATAAGACACTGCCAAGAATACGAATGAAACTCAGACAGGTACACCTGACTTTGCTATAACAACAACAACCAACTCCTCTGAGCATAAGACGTCGTTAATACTTGGATGTCAGAAAGTGACTTCATTCCTTTGACTTGGATATACTCTCTCAGTTAAAAGCTGATCCACTATCAACATATTTGCTAATTTAGTGAATACTTTCTAAATGGAAAAAAAATCTAATTTTTAAGTCACACAAGGCGTATTGTTATATATTAATTAAAAATAAAACCATTTAACACTACAGAAGTAATGTATATAGGTTTAACACTCTAAAATGAGGTAATTTACAAGACTCCGTGGAAGTGCATATCACCTTTATCCAACAGTCACCCACTATTACTTAGTTCACTTGGTTTTCGCTACACATCTCATTAAAATCTTTGTTCTGTTAAAAAAAGAACATAAAAACCCTGAAGCGTATGCGATATTTACATAACCCTTAGCTTGAGGCTGGGCATTTGCAGTCCTGGGCACTTACAGCTCCCTGAATCTCAGCTATTTCTTCAAAGGCAAAAGCCTGATCAATTCAAACAAAGACCGAGGCACACAGCACTCTGGGTGTGACAGCTTGCACGACCTTTAGTGATACGAAAATGGTTGACAAATCTCATTTGTCTCTATTTTCTTTGCAGCTGAAAGTCAAGCTAGTCCTGGAAGACAGACTAATTCCTGGATATTGCAGAAAATATTCTTTGTGAGTTTAAAGGTTGCACAGAACCGGAATAATGATGTGAGAAATGCCTCTGTTCCTCTTCTCTGCAAGAAAAAGTTCTATCAGTTCCACAATCAATGCATTTCCCAGACATCTAAGATCCTGACATACTATTAATTAGTTACTCCGAAATTCTTTGAAACTTCAGTCATCTTGTAAGATGTACACCTGTCGCTATTTAAGGTTACTTCAAATAAATACCTCTAAAAGATAAGTTTATTTGGGGGGCAAAAAAAAAATTGAATTTCACTCATAGTTCTTTCCTAATGTATATTTTGAAGATCTGATTGAAGACCCCCTTGCATGCATGCATTTTATGACTGTGTTCCTTTCTGACATTCATGTATGAATCACTCAGGGCCAGATCATTTACCCACTTAGTTGGTGAGTGAGCTTTAGTAATTTAACAAAATCACCATCCAAGGTAAGAGCTAAACATTGACATGTCTGTTCCTAGCCGCGTGCCACGAACAGCCTCTCGTGCCTAGGAAAGGCGGCCCTCAGTCAGAATTCCGTGCTCACTCTCCTTCGGAAGGATTCAATTGCATCTGTCAGTAGCCTTTGAAAATGTCTCATGATTTTATTTGTACTCCACGTAGAATCTTTGGGACATACACCTTGCACTTAATGCTTTCGTACTGGTAGAGTTCAGTCATTTTGGACATTTTAATATGTGATTATCCCACAGTTTATTTTCTACTTCCTGTTTGCTGGGGCTTTCCACCACTTACAGGTTCTGCACTGTGAAAAGGGAGCTATGAACATTTTCATCCATGCTGCTTCTCACACATGTGCAGGCATGGAACTGCCGGATCCCAGACTACGGGAAAAGCTCAGCTTCAGGAAGTTCTGACAATGTTGAATATTTGGCTTGGTCACTCCCCTCACGTGTTTGTGTATTTTGATGAACTTTGCAGCTCAAATGTACATTTAACAAAATTAAATGATTAAAACAACAGTTTCTTTTTTGTTATTTTAGTCAGAAAATCTTGAAAGAAAATTTCTGTAAGAATGACATTGTATAAATATGAGCAAATGGAATGTTTCAGAGCACACTGTTGCTGGAACAATACAACTCATAAACCTAGGCAAGAGCATTACTACAGCAGAGTCAGTGCCTCTTTAATGGAGCAATTGTATCAAGTGTCCAGGAAGATTAGCTTTTACACACTGGGGGCTGGCCTTGTGACTCCTGGTTAAGCCTTTGCTTTCAAAGCCGGAATCCCACATCCCAGCTGTTCAACTTCTGACCCAGCTCCCTGCTAACGCATTTGGGAATACAGGGGAAGTACTCAAGCACTCAAGTACTTGGACTCCGGCCACTCCATGGGAGACCCGGTGGAGTTCAGTTTCTGGACTGCTGGCCTTGACCTGGGCTACCTCTGGTTGTTGCAGCCATTTGCAGGGTGAAGCAGGGGAGAGAAGATCTCTCTCTCTCTTTCTCTTTCTCTCTGTCTCTACCTGTGTGTGTGTACCCACTCTCCTTCTGTCACTTTGCCTTTCAAATAAACAAAATAAATCTTAAGTAGACAGTATAAAATGTTGAGCTAAGGGCCCATGCTGCAGACACTGGGGTACCGCTCCCAATGGCATGCTGTGTGCTCTTCTGTGCATATGGTACAACTTTTTTTTTTTCTTTTTGAGAAGCCCTCCCAGGGGCTTTCTCTTTAACCAAGACAGGGACATACACTTTTAATCAACCAACAATGTCATTGCCACTAGCTACGGGCAAGTGCTAGTATCCTATGTTTTGGTGATTCTTTCACCGGGTGCCCTCATCCTCCTCAGGGTTATGACTGAGCAATTACTTCTCTGATTTGACCATTGTCTGCTATAAAGATCAACTTTGGAAAAAGATAGACATTTGCATTAATAAAAAAAAAACTCTCCATTTTTCTAGTCTGATGACAAACCACCAGAATTGAAGCCAGCTGGCTGCTCAGGTTACCATGGCACACATGCAAGATGCCATTTCCCAAAGACACCGTTTCCTTACCATGGCACACACGTGAGGTGCCATCTCCTGAAGACACCGTGTCCTTGCCCTGGCACACACGCGAGGAGCCATCTCCCAAAGACACCGTGTCCTTACCCTGGCACATACACAAGGTGCCATCTCCCGAAGACACCGTGTCCTTACCATAGCACACACACTAGGTGCCATATCCCAAAGACACCATGTTCTTACCCTGGCACACACACAAGGTGCCACCCCTCGAAGACACCGTGTCCTTTCCATGGCACACACACGAGGTGCCATCTCTTGAAGACACCGTGTCCTTGCCCTGGCACACACGCAAGGAGCCATCTCCCGAAGACACCGTGTCCTTGCCCTGGCACACACGCGAGGAGCCATCTCCCAAAGACACCGTGTCCTTGCCCTGGCACACACGCGAGGAGCCATCTCTTGAAGACACCGTGTCCTTACCTTCACGTAGAGCTGCTGGAACTCCTCGAGGTTCAGCCTCCCGCTCGGGCAGTCCTTGAGGAAGCCCTTGTACCACTGCTTGAGCTCATGCTCGTTGAACTCCGTGCTCTTCACCAGGTCCTCCATGACTTCAGGGGCCAGTTTGCTATTCTGCTTCCCCATCCTGCCTGAAGGAAAGCAGATGGACGCAGTTAGCACTGTGGCTGTGATCATCTTGACCCGGGTTAGGAACGAAGCTGGAATTACGAGCAGTGCCTTCGTGGGAGCTCCCTCCTGTGTCTGATCCTATCTCCCCAGGCCTGCCTCTTCCTGTTCGGAAGACAAGATTGAGACAAGATTGTAGCATAGACAAGATTAGAAGGAAACAGACCCTTGTGACAGTGGAAGGGCTGCAGAGCTTGCCTGCTCGTCCTTGCGTCCTTTCCCACACGGCGTTGACTCCAAAGTGGAAAGATGGCCACCCTTTCTATGGTAGGTAAAAGGAAGCTATTTATCCCTCTTCCTTCTATGAATTACAGTTCATTGGCATTTACTGCTCTCGTGCCTAATTCTATATTTAGTTACATCAAATGGGATTACTGACAAGAATAAGACTTTACAATCAAATGATCAAGAATTGTTCAGAAAATTGGTCAAAGACTTTAGGGAGCCTCAATGATCCTAGTAAAATGTGACATTTATTCTAATGAGAGCAGTTCATTTCAAAAGTCATATTAAGTCACATTTCTACAACATTCTCTTCAGAGTTGACAATATCCTAGCCGATTCTAGAGATTGGTTGGTTGAACTTGTGTTGATAGTTCACATTGTCATAGATGATAGCAGGGCATTGGGTTCTGGTACCTACAGCAATGAAGCACCAGATCATGTGGCCAACACCACAGCAGAGAGTGCTGGCACAAGGCAGCTTTGGAGTCACTCCTTATCTTAACTCCTGAGTTGGTCATTTACTACACTCAAATGTGTTATTTAGGACAATATAAATCAACTCGACTATATCTGATTTCCTCATTAATAAAGTGAGGTAGTAATTTTTAAACATTTACCTATATAGGAAATTAAAAAATAAAAAGGGGGCCCAGCATGGTACCCTTGTAGCTAAATCCCTGGCTTGCATGCCCCAGTATTTCATATGGGTGCTGGTTTGTGTCCTGCTTACTCCACTTCCTTTCCAGCTCCCTGCTTGTTGAGGACAGTCCAAAGCCTTGGGATCCTGCACCCACATGGGAGGCCTGGAAGAGGCTCCTGGTTCTTGGCTTTAGATTGGCGCAGCTCTGGTCAGTGTGGTCACTTGGGGAGTGAAGCAGTGGATAGAAACTCTGCCTCTCCTCCTCTCTGTAAACCTGCCTGTCCAATGATGTATTAATGGAGGAAAAATAAGAATAACGTAAAAAATTTCATTTAATGTTATATTTTGCTAAGAGCAAAGCATTTAAAGCATAACAAATTAGCCAAACATTAATTTAGAAAATCAAGTTACCTGTAAAAATCTGAGAGACCAGCAAAATAAGGAAAACTTAAGGAGATCTTTGTGCACTTGGTGAGAGGACTCTGAGTCAGGTTTGAGGAACTTAGCCAAGAGGACCCAGGCCTCCTTGGAGTTTGAGACACATTCTGTCTCAGGGTCTAGGCAGGTCTCCACTTGCAACAGCTCAGAAGGGATAATCTCATTACATACTTGTCATTACATTTTGCCTTCTGCAACAACTGATGCCACACCCCATGTCAGTTTCCTGCCCTAACGTTTGCAGTTCTTACACTGTCAGGATATCAAGCCACCTTGCGGCTGTCGGGGAGCAAATCTAGGAAGAAATAACATGGCTCCATGAGACGTCCAACACGAGCAGTTGTTTCCCCAACACTTTCTTGAGAAAAAGGACCAGGAGATCTGTAGCAGTGTCCTTTTTATGGTGCCTCTCACCTATTTTTGTTCTTAATTTCAAGCTTTGAATCTGTCATTAGCAACTGTCTCTTAATTATAAGCTACTGTGGGATTCCACAGCTGGATAGGGAAGTCAAGTGGGTACTCAGGAGTCAAGTTTAATTAATCTGGGTAAGAAAACTGTAATTCGTAGTTATCCTGAAGATCAAAAGATATATTGTCAAGCCTTTTCCACTTTGGTCTTTTCAGTAGTGAATTTCAATATCTATTTCTTAAAATCTCATGGAGCGGTATCGGGTTTTGCAAATTAAGGCTGGAGAAGGCCTATATGGAATATTTCACAAACTATCTTTAACTGTAGGACAACTGGGCAATAGAGATTGTACAGGATTGCACAATGAATGCATGGTAGAACCAGAATTTGAACCTGTAACTCCAAAACTCCAAAACAAAATTGTAAGTAGGTGGAGAGAGAAGGCATTTCAGAATGAGGAATGAAAGGAGCAAAGCGCGAAGGTTGAAACAACTGAATCAGTGCCCAGAAGGGATGCCACGGGGGGTAGAACACCTGACCAAACTGGTTGCCTTGTTTGGAAAACAAAGCTAGATGCCCTAAAACCACAAGCTCCAAAGTGATTTTATATTAATAACGGGAAAGTGGATTAAAAGTGTGAAAATCACCTCCTCCAAGTACTTTGAGAAGTTCAACAAAGTATCGATTTCTCTGTTGGGCTGGTAAGCATGCTTTCTCCATGGTGATGGCTCCAGTGGTTCCAGCCTACTGGGACGAAAGGTCTTTCTTACTCAGAGAGTATTTGCAGGACCGTGAATCACAGGTTTGGGGACTCACACGTGTGACTTCATGCCTTGTGGGTATAGGTTGTGGCCAGCACCTTCACTCGGGTGTGGTACGTTTCACTTGGGTGGGTCATGCAGAAAATCAAGTCCTGGCCTGGCTCAGGGTGGCATTGCCACTTCCCTCATCCACCTCATCCAGTGCTTACCTTGATTACGATCAGCTTCCCCTCTGTACCTCCTGGCTCCAACCTACCCATTGCATGTCTGCCTCTGTGAATTTCTGAAATACACACCTGGCCATCTGATTAATCCTAAAGCCTGCAGCTGGACTGTGTCTTCACTTTGTTTCCATCCCACCTCTGTCCCATGCCACAGGTGCTGCCTACTGGCGGCCTTGTTGTCTACCAATCTGTCCTGCACAATACTTAGTAATGGACAGTTTTAGCATGCCCCTGCATCCACACCCTCTTTGGCCCTGCATGCGCTTGTCCCTTTTCCTAGAGTGACTCTCGCCTTGTCCTCACCGCATCCTTCTTTCCCTTGGTTGACGAGTCTCAGCTCCCACCCCCACTCTTCTCTGAAACCTTCCTGTCAGACCTGGACGCCATTTGTTCTTAACGTCACCTATTCCTTGCTAAGCTTCCATGTTCATGATTTATTCCTCTATTCAACTGTAGGTTTCTTGTCTGTTTCCTTGGTAATTTATGTGAGGTGCTCGGCTACAAATACATGAGGGGGACTGAGGCATTCGATATGTTTCTCCCCAGGAAAATCAGTCTTACAGTCAAAACAAGAGAGGAGTCAAACAATCTTAACTATGAATATAAAACTCGGGCAGCAGGTGGAAGAGAGGTTTCATTGAACTTTCTTGGGAAGCAGCCAGCCCCTCCCCTGCTGGAGAGTGCACACCTGCTTGCCTTCATTGCTGGATTTTTCAACTCCCTGGAGGCAGGGCCGTTGAGTCTCAGTGTCCTGAATCACTGGCATGAAAGTGGTGCCAAGGAATACGTGATAAATGAAAGTGTGGAAGGGCTAATGCTCCCATCTTCACACCTCTCAAGCAGCTCTTTCATTAGGGGTCTAAGATGAGGGAAAGTGGCAGCAAATCATTCAGCGTTCCCAACAAAGACACCAGTGCCTAACACCAGTGTTCATGTCAGCTCTGCCTCCAACTGACTCTGAAACCGTGGGCAAAGCCGTCCCTTTCTTCTCACTCACTTTCCTATGTTAAAAAAAAAAGAGCATGTTTAGCCCCAGATGACCTTTAAGGCCCTTCCAACAGCACTGTTCATGGATGTGCCACATGAGTTTTATAATCACAAAAACCTGAGTCACACACTTCATGTGGGCTGGCCTCAGCACACGCTGGCCCTGTGAGTTCTTTAGAGTCATCCCTCCATGCCATAGTGCCATTACCTAGGAAGAGAGTGGCCAGGAAGGAGTGTACACTTTGAAGCTGAGGCTAGAGGCTGTGGCATCAAAGCCAGTCCAGTCCCAAGCCCCCCATTTTTTTTATTGCTTGAATTGCAGTAGAGACAAACTCCTTGGGGCTGGAGACAGAATAGTACTGACATGGGAGTGGGCAAGAGAAGTTCACGGCGACTGAACAGAAAAGCCGGTACAGGCACTTAGCTGCAAATGATGCATAGAAAAGATAGCAGGGGAACGGGAGGTGGGGGAGGGAGAGAGAGAGACTAGACCCCACTTCCCAGGACATCTGAGAGTCTGGTGAGTTTTGGGAGGCACATGGGACTGAACTCTGGGCTTCTCCCAGGTAATCTAGCCACCAGCCTGGCTGCAACTCACTAAGATCAATTGACAGTAGAGTGTGTGTGAGCTGGGAAGTTCTGAAGTCGGAGCGGCTTGGCCGTGTGTCTTGACACATACAGGATAGAAGCATCAGTGGGGACACAGCCTTGGAGACGGGACCCACATCAGCCACAGGAAGTACATCAGGGGCTCAGCTTGGAGACCTAGGGGATGATGCAGTGCTGGTGTGGGACTGACTAGGTAAAATCAGTTCTTCTCCTGGGGTCCTAGGATCCTCACCTGTACACTGAATAGTGGAAAGACGTGGTCCTTGCTTACGATGACTCTTGCCTTAAAGGACACCTACCCCTCATTTTCCCCCTTCTATTCTATCTAAATCTCACTGATCCTGCAGGATTCTGTCCCAATCTTGTCTTCTTCATGACACTTTCCAGCTGTCATTATTGTTTAGATGTCCTGGCTTTGTGTCATTGGTGACCTATAGCACTATTAGCTGAATACACAGGCAGAAACATTTTGGGCAGCTCCATTGGGAGGAAAACATTTAAAAGTATCTTTCCTGAGAACGGCTCTGTGCTAGGCGTGGTGCGGATATAAAGAGAGGACATCATTCTGAATGAAGGGCTCAGACTAGCACGCTGAGACACTCACACATCTTGGAATGTGAGGTCTGCTGAAATGCCTGCTCATAAGAGAAAGCAGTGGAGCAGAGAGGAT